TGATGACGAGAGCGCTAGCTATGGTAGTGATGATGATGATGACGAGAGCGCTAGCCATGGTAGTGATGATGATGATGACGAGAGCGCTAGCCATGCTGGTGATGATGACGAGAGTGCTAGCCATGCTGGTGATGATGACGAGAGCGCTAGCTATGCTGGTGATGATGATGATTATGAGAACGCTAGCTATGCTGGTGATGATGATGATGACGAGAGCGCTAGCTATGCTGGTGATGATGATGATGACGAGAGCGCTAGCCATGGTAGTGATGATGATGATGACGAGAGCGCTAGCCATGCTGGTGATGATGACGAGAGTGCTAGCCATGCTGGTGATGATGACGAGAGCGCTAGCTATGCTGGTGATGATGATGATGACGAGAGCGCTAGCCATGCTGGTGATGATGATGATGAGAACGCTAGCCATGCTGGTGATTAGAATGGTTGTGGATTTCTGCTACTAATTTGTGGATATATGCTACTAAAGTGGATTTATGCTACTAATTTAGTAGCAAGTAGCCACACGTGTGGATACTTGCTACTAAATGTGGATTTTTGCTACTAATTGTGGATTTCTGCTACTAAAATGTGGATTTCTGCTACTCGCGTTTCCTTGAATCTCATTGGTTAGCCAAAGAATTGGTTGCTAAGACACCTGTTTGTTTGAACAAGTGGTTTCTGTCAACCAAGACATGTGAGCACACATTAGATTTCTGAGGTAAGTTAATATTAAATTTACAAATTACTATTAAAACAGTAGCACATATACTTATTATATCAATTTTTTTCTGCCTTATAGTATAGTGTGATATTCCCTTTAATAAGGATTAGAACTAAAAGCACTAATTAAACCACAACTCTAGACAAATTAGATTATGAATATATATGAACTAAATAACAATGTGAATGCGTTATGTAATAAAAATATGAAGTATATATACAGAAAAGCCCAACACTGCATGGTTGCTTGCAAATATTTAGTTGGCATATACACACAGAGGTGTTGCGTGCAAGTAGTTTTAAGTACACGCTGCAGTAGCTGGTTTCAAACATTCGCTTGCAACTTTCCATAATTCCAACGTTTTTCTTGATATGTTGGAAAAGTACAAATGTAAATATTCTCCTACTTAGATGACCAATAATTGCGTTGCAATTGTACTATTGCAAACAAACTACAATTAAAGCATAAACTTTAGTGTAGGATATTTTAGCAATATATATGCAGACATATATGCAGTACTGAATTATACAGTGTTGTAAGCCCAACACTGTATACTCAATAAATAACTCACTTTGTATATATAATTCCTCAAAATAAACGCTAATGGCCTCTCCATCATCATCCGTTCAACTATTTACATGTTATACGGCACAGTCAATTTGAACCATATATACATACATTCATACACTTGACATGATTATAGATATCTGACACACACTTAACACTAGCTTATGAAAACCTTTCTTTGCAGATAAAATCAAATAGAATATAAATATGGAGAGGAAGGGGAGCATTTCTAGTTATATCTTTTTAATCATTTGAGTTTATATTTGTCATTGTTATTATAGTTATTCATAACACATGATTCCCATCCTCCACAGGATTAGTGTGTGTATGGCTGTATTGTCTAAATAATAGCATTCAGGTTTATTAGAATACTAATTTTGAGGAGTTAGAGGAGGAGGAGGAGGAGGAGGAGGAAGAGGAGGGCAGCAGGTAGGGGAGGGGAGCAGGTAGGGGAGGGGAGCAAATATGGGAAGGGGAGCAGGTATGGGAGGGGAGCAGGTAGAGAAGGATGTTGATGAGGGGGAGCAGTTAGAGGAGGTAGAGGAAGGAGAGCAGGTAGGGGAGGAATAAATCGGATGAGATAACTGACTTGGCAATGCCTGTTTTTTTATGATTGCTAACAGAGTGTGAGAATTATATTACACATGTGCAATCGAAGACACATTATAACTGCTACTTCCATTGCCCATACACAACGTGTTGGGGGCACTTTACCATGTCACACCGGCTAGGAGCAAAGAAGGGGGTGGCCCAGAAATGCCTCAAATGAAATGCATATGAAAAGGATAAACGCAAGCCGAAATTTCAGGATGCTTGGAGGGAGCAAAGTCCCTGGCTCGTTGTCACAAATGATAATAAGAGCATTGCATTTCTCTAATGTATAAAAAAAATCGGGGCCAACTGAGGCTCAGCAGGAGTGACAGATTTTTGGGTCTGTTAGTGTCAACGCTGTTATTATATATTATATAAAAAAACATTTTACTTATAGAGTATAGTTGCTCTTATTAAAAAAGAGATTCAATTACAAATAAAAATGTTAATTAATTGTACAATACTGTATCCTCAATCATTATTACACTTTTGTCTGTAGGACGTAGTGCCTCCATCTCCAAATTCTTCATCCGGTGGCAAAAAGAGTGGGATAGAATTGATGAATGAAGATGAGAGACGAGCTGGTGAGTTATTTTTTGTTGTGTTTGTTGAATCGAAATCCAGGGAATCTGCAATTAGGGACGTTGTCTGAGTTTCCTAAATTTCCTATGTACATGATTCATACCTGTCATTATTTTGGTTTGCCAGAAATGATAGATTTGCAATTCAAGATAAAGACGCACAACAGTCGAATGAGCATTGGACAAAATTCAGAAATATGACATGCCTATACGTGACGTTTATGCCAAACACTTTTAATTATTTTTCTAGACGATGATACAACATCCAAAAAGTCAAGCACCAGAGCTAAAAAAGCTGAACCCACGAAAAGAAAGAGGCAGAAGTGCTCTTTGTGTACGAGTGAAGTGGTGAATCTACCACGCCACCTTGTTCAAATACATAAAATGAGTCAGAGGGATTCCATGAAGGTGAACAGGAAAGAGCGGCAATCTTCTGCCAAACGGGCACGGCAAATTAAGCGATGCCCATTGTGCCACGCTGTAGGCCAGAGGATAGATAACCATTTAAAGAAAATTCACAAATTACAAAAAGGGTCTGAAAAATTTATTGCCGTGAGTAAAAGAGCTAAAATAGTACAGAGCAGTCGAGGTAAAGGTGCAATAATAAAACAGGTGGTTGAACAGTCTCCACAAGAAAGCTTGCATACCCTCACAAGCCAGTTCAGTCAGTACCTGACGTCTCTAGAGGGGGGAAGTAGAACACCTACAGCTGCCAATCAGCACGTTCGTCAAATCGAAAAGATATACGATGATTTAGAAACAGACTCTGTTAACAAAACCATGGAAAACATGGATATCGTTTTTGAGAAATGGCTAACTCCATTTTCCAATGTAAACGTGGCAGGAACCGTCAGGAGTTATCTGGCCTCACTAGGACTTTTTATAAGGTTCCTGTGTGATCGAAAGAAGCTTCACAGCGTGTCTTCTCTTCATCTGGAAGAAGCCGAGAAGAGATGCAGAAAGTGGGGCAGCTGCCTGAGGCCCCTCATTGCCAAGCGACGTGCGGAGGTTAGAACGGTAGATAGCAGAAGGCGCCTCACACCTGCCATGATCAGGACATTATTTAATGGGCCTGACTTCACCGAGGCTATGAAACGGCTGAAGGCTCTAAAGAATGGCGAACATCAGATGAAAGCGAATGACTTTATATTGCTGAGAGATTTTTTGCTTTGCCAGATGTGCTTCGCAAATGCCATGCGATCTGGCGTGCTGAGGAATGCGACCATCATGACTTTCAGGAAGGGGAGCAAAAAGACAATGTTTGGGTGTTTACCGCGGTCTCTCACAAGACGACAAACACCCATGGCCCTGCGAAAGTCGTGATTGCTGACAGCATGCGTGCCACCATGAATGTCTGGGTGAGCGAGTGTCTGGCAAGTATTCCCAGCTGCAGTGGGAAGGATAAGCTGCTTTTTCCAAACGTCAATGGGAACAAAATATCAAGCAACACACTTGCGGTTGCAATGACAAAATTTTGGAATAACTCTGGATTACAAGGGCGAATTACACCAACGTTGGTCAGAAAGACCGTAGTGTCCCTTATCAAAAAGAAAAAACCAGAGCTGCTCGAACAGGTTGCTCAGCATATGGCACACAGGCAGTCCACACAGGAAGGTTTTTACCGGCTAGATGCAGAAATTGAAGAAAGTGCCTCTGTGGCACAACACATCATGAACTTGTGGGAACATGAACAACCCACAGATAAAGATAACGCGGTTCACGTTACCGACAGCTCTGGAGACAGTACCAGCGACAACGAAAGTGTGAATGCTGATTCACCTCATGCCACACCCGTGTCTTCAGATGAAGCTGAGGGATCTGATCACAAGCAGAAGAAGTGCACTTTCGCGCAAAAGCGTAACAATATATATAATGAACAAGAATTGGATGCCATGCACAGTTTATTCGGACATATTATAAGAGACGGGAGCTTTGTAAAGAGTGATATGGATAAAATTTAGCTGAAATCGAAACGCACACAAGAAGCCGAAATCCTGAGAAAATATACGGCAAAGCAATTATATGATAAATTGCGTATAATGTGTAGCAAAAGCAAATCGTGTTTTGCACGTTAGACGTGTGTAGCGGAGGGTAGGGCCGTCTCAACAGAACTCAGCTCCTTATAGACTTGATTCTTTATGGAGGTTGGCACAGGTGGGCGCAGGTTAGCGCAGATAGTGGTCGCAGGCGACCGCAGCATAGCGCAGAGTGGGCGAAAGTGGGCGCAGGTTAGCGCAGATAGTGGGCGCAAGTTAGTGGGCGCAAGTGGGCGTCAATCAATAAAAAAGTGGGTATGTCAGAGGTTTCTGTGCGAGATGTTCGTTATGGCTTCTGTAGAGTTTTTAGTAAAATACCAGAATACTGGTGACAGAGAGTCATGGGTGTGCTGCCCCGTTCCCGTTGGCGACTGAGGGAGTAAGAGGGGTTGGCGGGAGGGTATGTGTTTGTGCGGGGGATGTAGGGATAGCGTTGGGTTCACCGTTTTATATTTCGGTTTGTTTAGATTCATGTAGGTTGGATTAATTTGTTCATCATGTTTGATACAAAGTTCGATTCATTTCCATGTCATCCGTCTGTTTGTCTAATCATGTAAAAAGTTATGCTATTATGTTTTTCTTTACAAATGGTTTGTGCGTAAAACTGTAATTTTGGCTATTATAAATTTTCTTGTTTTCTAGTTTCACAATAAAGGATTTTAACACAGATTCAGAGGTTTCTGTGCGAGATGTTCGTTATGGCTTCTGTAATGTTTTTAGTAAAATACCAGAATACTGGTGACAGAGAGTCATGGGTGTGCTGCCCCGTTCCCGTTGGCGAGTGAGGGAGTAAGAGGGGTTGGCGGGAGGGTATGTGTTTGTGCGGGGGATGTGGGGATAGCGTTGGGTTCACCGTTTTATATTTTGGTGTGTTTAGATTCGTTAGTTTCATGTAGGTTAGATTAATTTGTTCATCATGTTTGATACAAAGTTCGATTCATTTCCATGTCATCCGTCTGTTTGTGTAATCATGTAAAAATTTATGCTATTATGTTTTTCTTTACAAATGGTTTGTGCGTAAAACTGTAATTTGTGCTATTATTAATTTTCTTGTTTTCTAGTTTCACAGTAAAGGATTTTAAGACAGATTCTTAAGCTTCTGCTTTCTACTAAAATGTTCATTTTTGAAAATAAATGCAAAATTTGAATGAATTTTTTATTCTAACTGAATCTTTCTTCTCTGAAACATTTTGCGATATGCAATCCTTTGATTTGAATAATTCCACTGTTCATTGCTGAGAAGTCATATAATCTAACTGACATAATCTGAATAAATTACTTAAATAGAATAGTGGAATATAATACGTAGTATGCATAAATTAAAATGAAAACCAGAAGCAAAGAACACAAGTAATGTAATATAATAATATAATAAAGAAAGAGAGCGAGCGAAAGAGAGAGAGCACGCAAGAGAGAGAGCACGCAAGAGAGAGCGAGAGTGAGCGAGAGCGCGCGAGAGAGAGCAAGAGCGCGCGAGAGAGAGCAAGAGCGAGAGCGCGCGAGAGAGAGCAAAAGAGCGAGAGCGCTCGAGAGAGAGCAAAAGAGCGAAAGCGCGCGAGAGAGAGCAAAAGAGCGAGAGCGCGCGAGAGAGAGCAGAGCGAGAGCGCGGGAGAGAGTGAGAGAGAGCGAAATAGCGAGAGCGAAAGAGCGAGAGCGTGCAAGAGAGCGAAAGAGCGAGAGCGCGCGAGAGAGAGCGAGAGAGCGCGAGAGAGAGCAAAAGAGCGAGAGCGCGCGAGAGAGAGCAAAAGAGCGAGAGCGCGCGAGAGAGAGAGAGAGCGAAATAGCGAGAGCGAAAGAGCGAGAGCGTGCAAGAGAGCGAAAGAGCGAGAGCGCGCGAGAGAGAGCGAGAGAGCGAGAGAGAGTTTGAGTGCGCAAGAGAAAGAGCGAGAGTGAGCAAGAGTGCACAAGAGAGAGAGCGAGAGTAAGCGAGAGAGAGCGAGAGTAAGCGAGAGCGCGCGAGAGAGAGAGAGCGAGAGTGAGCGAGAGCGCGTGAGAGAGGGCAAAAGCGAGAGCGCGCGAGAGAGCAAAAGAGCGAGAGCGCGCGAGAGAGCAAAAGAGCAAGAGCGCGCGAGAGAGAGCAAAAGAGCGAGAGCGCGCGAGAGAGAGCAAAAGAGCGAGAGCGCGGGAGAGAGTGAGAGAGAGCGAAATAGCGAGAGCGAAAGAGCGAGAGCGTGCAAGAGAGAGCGAGAGAGAGTGAGAGTGCGCAAGAGAAAGAGCGAGAGTGAGCAAGAGCGCGCGAGAGTGTGAGCAAGAGTGCACAAGAGAGAGAGCGCGAGTAAGCGAGAGAGAGCGAAAGAGCGAGAGCGCGCGAGAGAGAGCAAAGGAGCGAGAGCGCGCGAGAGAGGGAGAGAGAGCGAAAGAGCGAGAGCGAGAGAGCGAGAGCGTGCAAGAGAGAGCGAGAGAGAGTGAGAGTGCGCAAGAGAAAGAGCGAGAGTGAGCAAGAGCGCGCGAGAGTGTGAGCAAGAGTGCACAAGAGAGAGAGCGCGAGTAAGCGAGAGAGAGCGAGAGTAAGCGAGAGCGCACGAGAGAGAGAGCGAGAGTGAGCGAGAGCGCGCGAGAGAGAGCAAAAGAGCGAGAGCGCGGGAGAGAGTGAGAGAGAGCGAAATAGCGAGAGCGAAAGAGCGAGAGCGTGCAAGAGAGAGCGAGAGAGAGTGAGAGTGCGCAA